CGGGGCTGAGAGAGCTCTGACAGAAACTGCTCTTTTTCGAAAACAGCTCTTATCAGAACTACGGCTTGCCCAAGGTCATCCAGCAGCTGCAAGTGGAGGAGTGGGGAATCAAGCCCGGTTCTCCCAGATTAGAGTCCACGCACTTAACCACTACACCAAACTGGCTCTGACTGAACACTGAAATATTGATTAATTAATAAAGGAAGAGTTCAGATATCAAGGTCTGGAACCCCTGAATACCCAATAGACTCTTCGAGTGTTACAAAGGGTGACATGAGATTTTATAGTCTGTCACAAGCAAGCAAAACATTGTTATTTGTGCCATCAAACATCAGCACTCTGACCTCACAGGTCTCTGATGGGCGGAAAGCCTTTTGGGCCGGGCTTTCCCAAGTACAGTTCATTCTACCTTTTACTTTTTAATAGACAGTGGGCGCTTCTCTCCCCCAGACTGTGAAGTTCTAAAAGTACCTATCTGACTTAATAGAAGACAGGGTGTCTTTGTTCACCATTTAGCTGATTTCAGAAATATGTTCTGGTTATAGCTAAAATGCAAGGCCATGAGGCCTGTCTATGGGCAAAATAATGGTCTGTTAGCAGCTTTTTATTCTCCCAGCATGCATTTTTAAGCAGTGGCCATTAATGAACCACAGTATCTGAATATACGTTCATGGTACTCAGCATATCATGGAAATGCTAGGTGTACCTACTAAGTTAACCTGTTAGTCAGTGGCAGAGTACAAAAGTGTTTCCTAAACTGTGCGTACAGCAACGCTGTTTCAAGGGAAGTGACTTCACGCGAGCGAAGTACAGGAAGAGAAAGAGCTCTTGTCCCGGCGGGAGCTGGGAAACCGCAGTATTCCAACATTTGGTTTGTTTTTTAATCTTCCAGAGAGGCCACGACTTCTACGAAGGGGTGCGAGCAGGTAAGGTTCAGGCCGGAGAGGCCATGTCAAGTTAGGAGCGGGGTTGCTGTCGTCTACTTCAGGCTTGTTGTTACTGTTAATGGAACGGGAGCCAGCCGCTGGGCGTGGATTTGTAACACTGTCAGTCAATGTTCCCTCTAAGCTGTGGGGTCTTGTGAGCAAAAATGCTACTTTGTGAGCTACTGGCATTAAAGTTGTGAGTGAGCAATATGGCTACTGCATAAATTAGCTTGCTCTGGAGCCCTCCTTCCTGAGCTGAGACAAAAAATGTGTGAGCCGGAGGCTGAAAAACTGTGAGCTAGTTCACACTAACTCAGCTTAGAGGGAACACTACTGCCAGTCATTCCGGCAGGTTCTGTGCTAGATCTGGGAGTCAGATAGAGGGTGGCGCCGGGCACCACTCTTAGGTGCAGCCTGGATTTCCCTTTACTGGAATTTTATCAAATAGAGCAGGAGTCCAGGAGCACCTTAAAGACTTACCAAAACATGTGGCAGGGGAGGAGCTTCCGCGAGTCACGGCTCACTTCTTCTGATACGACTCGAATGTGAGTCCATCAGTCCTCCTGTCTCGGAGAGTGGAGTGCTATTGTCATTCGGCATCTGAAATCCCTCAGAGGAAAGACCGGAGAGTCTGGGACTTTTCCGTTTAGAAAAGAGACGACTAAGGGGGAGCATGATAATAAAGGTTTATAAAATTATGCCTGGGGTGGAGAGGGTTGGCAAAGAGAACCTTTTCTCCCTCTCCCAAAATATAAGAACTCAAGGGCGTCCAGCGACGCTGATGGGCAGGAGGTTCAGGATGGGCAAAAGGAAATACTGCTTGACACACAGAGAGTGATGAAAATATGTGGAATTCACTGCCAGGGGATGTTGTGATGGCCACAGGAATGCACAGCTTTAAAAGGGGATTAGACAAATTCAGGGAGGATACGTCTGTCGATGGCTACTAGCCAGGGTGCCTGAGGGGAACCTCCACATTCAGAGGAACTAATCCTGTGAATCCCAGAGCCAGGAGGCAACATCCGGGGAAGTTCTTGGCCTCTCTGCCCTGCTGTTGGCCCTCCAGAGGAACTGGCTGGCCTCTGTGTGAGACAGGATGCTGGATTAGATGGACCACTGGTCTGATCCAGCAGGGCGCTTCTGATGTTCTTAGGAAGGCCTCAGGCTCTGTGCCCTGTTGTTGGCCCTCCAGAGGAACTGGTTGGCCTCTGTGTGAGAGACAAGATGCTGGACTAGATGGACCACCAGTCTGATCCAGCAGGGCTCTCCTTATGTTCTTACAAAGGCCTCAGGCTCTGTGTCCTGTTGTCGGCCCTCCAGAGGAACTGGTTGGCCACCGTGTGAGACAGGATGCTGGACTAGATGGACCACTGGTCTGATCCAGCAGGCCTCTTCTGATGTTCTTAACTATATTTCCAGGGAATGAGCCTTCAAGAGTCAAAGTTTCCTTTGTCAGAGGGAATGTTATTTAGCAGGGCAAGAAAGAAAACCATCCCAGCACTTTTCCTTTTGACATTCTGGCTTCCCTTGGCCAAGAAATCTCTCTATGTTAGAATGTGCCGTTCCCCACCCGCTTTTGGAAGTGTAGAATCCTAGAGGACCGGCACTTGGCCATTTTTATGACTGGTGAGATGGGCTCACCTTGGGCCTGCTTGTGAAATTCACTGCCCGTTGCAGAGAGATCCCTATTGTTAACACTACTTTCTGAAAAGGATGCTCTAAATACGTAGGAAGACAAGCAGCAAAGGGAAATCCTTAAGGACGCAGGAGCCTTCTCCCAGAACCGAGACGAACACCGATGGTTGTGATTTTCATTAGGAGCAAGCACTGTTCTTAACACGCAACCAGATCAATCATTGTGCCGATCGATCCAGCTGCCTGAAGTGCTGATTGAGAAATAAATCTCTCACGACAGCAGCGGTGATCGATAATCCATTTCCCATTTAAGGGCCTTGATTCTTCAGAGCAAAAGATTGAATAAGACAAAACCGGGGTCGAGAGTGCTGTTGACAACAGTGCCTTGCCTTCTAGGACAATATCACTTCCAACTTGGTTTTGCCCATTGTATTCCAAGGGAAGGCGACCTGGCTAGTAGCACTACACCAGTCTGGCGTCGTGGTTAAGTGCGTGGACTCTAATCTGGGAGAACCGGGTTTGATTCCCCACTCCTCCACTTGCAGCTGCTGGGTGACCTTGGGCAAGCCATAGTTCTGTCAGAGCTGTCCTTGAAAGAGCAGTTCTCTCAGAGCTCTCAGCCCCACCTACCTCACAGGGAGTCTGTTGTGGGGAGGGGAAAGGGGGTTGTAAGCTGCTCTGAGACTCCGAGTCAAGGGTGGGGTATAAATCCAATTTCTTCTTCTTCTTCTCCTCTTCCTCCTCTCCCCACCTCTCCTTGCGCTCTTCTTTGTCTTGTCACCATGGCGGTACGCTGGTCTGTACCGTAATTGGCTCCTCGTTGGTTTGCCCTGGGCTTCCACATTCATCCATCTCTCAAGACTGATTAGTGGAGCTATTGACATAAATGCAGAAGCCCTATCTCTGAATGAGCCCCATGTAACAGTTGCGGCTAAGGCCTCGGTAATTGTAGAGGTCGACCAGGGGGGCCCAACCTTTTCCAGCCTGTGGGCACCTTTGGAATTCTGACACAGTGGGGTGGGTTCAAGTACAAATCGGCTGTCACAAAATGGCTGCTGCAGGAGGCAAAGCCAGCCCCCCCACTTACTGTCAGTCACACAGGGAATGTCGTGAGTCAGTGAAGATCCTTGCGCTGTGGTGGCGACTGCTGCCCAAGCAACATTTTTAAAAATCAGCGCAGCCAACCAAATTTCCGGTAGCCAATCAGAACCCTTGCTGGGCAAAAGCCCCGCCTTGGCCACACCCACTTTCTAAAAACACCTGGTGGGAGCCAGAAAAGGTCTTGGCGGGCACCACGTTGAGTACCCCTTGGGGTAGACAAAGGCAACATACTGTCGGAGCGATCTGCATTTCTAATTTTTATCGTTTTCTTTACGTTATTTATAAAAGACGAAAGATTTATGCGATCTGAAGAGAAGCCAGCGTATTCTAGGTTATTTATAATCCATCTTTATCACCAGGACTCAAGGCGGATTACGCAGAGTGAATTATTACAATGAACGGGATGGGGCATTCAGCAAGCAGGAAAACGGGATTTGGGTCGTAGAACCAACCAGAAATCTTTAAAAAAAAACCAGAATTGAAGTAAAGCATAAGTGTTCACGTGACACGTTACACAATGTGCAGTTACACAACAGGGTCTTATCCACTGCCAACAGTAGCACAGTATCTGAATAACTTTTCTGAATCGTTGGATACAGTGCAGCTCTGTTGCCTGCGTTTTTCAGTTTTGCACAGTTTGAGGGGAGCCAGGGGGGGGGGAGCCGTCCTCGGGCAGGCCGTCGCACAAGGTGGTTGTGTGTACCCGAGGGGAGAAATCGTCTTGTTTCCCCCTGCCCCATCTTGTCGGACAGCCGATTCTTCTCGTCCTGTGACCTTTCTAGCAGCAGAACGTCAGGGAGCCTCTTCCAGAGACCTGCTCCCAAGCAGTGACATTCTGCGGAAGAACGGTCATCACTAGAGCGTCTGTAGTCTGGTTTGAGGGGAAATTGGGCGAGAGTCCTAGGTCCTTTCCGCATTTGCCTGCGAATCCAGATTTTCTCAGTGTTCCGAGTTGAGGCCATTTAAATCCACGGCAAAACAGCATCCAAATAACCCCGGGGGCAACAGCAGGCGGAAACCCCGGGTCCGACCCCTGAAGGGAGGTAATGTCATGCAGGATAGGAGGGGGAACTGAATAAAAAGACGCTTGAACTCGATTTTAGTGCAGAATGGGGGGGGGGACTATGGATGTTTTGGAGGACGTTAATTCCTAGTGTCGCTGTGGGTCAGATGTGACTTGACGGCATCTCGCGCACAGACACAGAGGCTGTGGAATGAAGAAAATCAGTGCCCCCAAGGTTAGAGTAAGTTTCCATAAAGCAAATATTAACAATGAATGGGAGGCTGAGATAAGGACGAGGGACTTTTGTGATAATCGGGGGGGGCACTTTGAACGTCCAAATAACCCCGGGGGCAACAGCAGGCGGAAACCCCGGGTCCGACCCCTGAAGGGAGGTAATGTCATGCAGGATAGGAGGGGGAACTGAATAAAAAGACGCTTGAACTCGATTTTAGTGCAGAATGGGGGGGGGGACATGGATGTTTTGGAGGACGTTAATTCCTAGTGTCGCTGTGGGTCAGATGTGACTTGACGGCACCTCACGCACAGACACAGAGGCTGTGGAATGAAGAAGATCAGTGCCCCCAAGGTTATAGTAAGTTTCCATAAAGCAAATATTAACCATGAATGGGAGGCTGAGATAAGGAGGAGGGGCTTTTGTGATAATCAGGGGGGCACTTTGAATGGCTCAAATTCTGCAGTTGTGCTGGGCTAGGTATGTAGCAGGATCCAGTTCATTATACAAATCACGCGACAGTTCATTACGTGCAGAGCAGGCCGTTCAAATAAACGCTCAATACTTCACCTTTAATTATGTGCCATTACGATTCAGAAGTTGAGAATGCAAATATTTACTTTTCCTTTCGAACCATTAGTGGAATGGCTTTGTAGAGGAAGAACAGGCCAAACGAATAGCGCTGTAAGGGCTGCAGTGGAATTTAGTTTTGCTGTACAGTCAGCAAAGGGAACAGGTAATCGGCTGCTCGTGATATTTTTATCTGCTGAAAAAAACCGATTATTTCCCCCCTTTTTTCGGCAGTGCTCGTCGACAAAGACCAGTCCGCCAAGTGGAAGCCAGCTACCTTAGAAGAAGTGACCGATGAATTTTTGGACTCGTGTTTCAAGTCTCTTGGAAGCAGCGAACTCAAGCTACAATAGATTTGGACCAAGGCCAGCCTAATTCTGTGTTAATTCTCGTTTCCTTTAACACAATGAAGGAAGGTTTGCAAATTCGGCCTTGAAAGGAATAACCCGCTGTGAGCAAATGCTTATTACTGTTACGTAAGGAAGAGGATTTAACGTTTTTGGAAACAAAGCTCCGACTACTAGAGAACTGGGGCAGTGCTATCATCAGCTGAGTTCACGCTCTAGTGCTTTCCAGAGAAAATTAAGACTGTGTCTATAAAGATCCTGATATTCTTTAGCAGAGCAAATTAACAACTGTCTGCATGGGAGGTCAACCGTGCAACAGGGGGAAGACAAAAGGGAGTGTTGGGACTAAAAAAGGTATCTTGGTCCCCTCTGACTTCTTCACCGCTGGATCAGGAGCTAACAGAGCGATAAACGTGAGACCCATAAAAATATGGTTGTATTTTTTTTCCATTGGGTGATATTAACTTAAAACCAAGTTGATCAATTGTATGGGTTCCCTGATTCAACCTGCATATATTCACAAATTAATAAACACAAATCTAAAATAAAAAATACCTTTTGGAAAAACGTTAATGCTACATGTAGAACAGGGAGGGAAGGCGGCACGGTATAGCCCGGAGGCGTCAAACTCATTTGCTACAAGGGCCGGGCCTGACAAAAATGTCACTTTGTTGGGCGGGGGGCAGGCCTTGTGTGCCATAAAATGTCATGCCGGTAACTGGAGATATAAACTTTATAAAAAAACACCGACAAACCCAAGTAACAATATTATATCTTACTCAAAATACAAACATGCTTTAAACATTAAACACTCTTACAGTATTTCCTCAAAGTATCTCCCTGACGCCCGCCCTCCCGCTTCCACCGCCCATTACTCATTAGCACTGGGACAGTATATAGGGACACAATGCACAGACTCTGTCATCTGGCAGTAAAGGTAATCAGTTGCTTGTGGGGCGGATAAGAGCCCTGGATGGGCCGGTTGTGGCCCGCGGGCCATATGTTTGACACCCCATGTGTAGCCTGATCTCGTCAGATATGGGAAGCTAAGCAGAGTCAGTACTTGGAAGGGAGACCTCTCCGCGGAGGACTCAGCAGAGGAAGGCAATGGCCAGCCACCTATGCTTCTCACTTGCCTCAAAGGCCTCTGGTCCTGAAGAAGTGTTTCAGATTTCATCTGCTTAAAAAGGGTTATATCCTGCACACTCTAGAATTTAACAAGGGGGGCTACCACCATAAAACCAAGCAGGGGAATAGAGAGCCAGTGTGGTGTAGGGGTTATCTGGAGAACTGGGTTTGATTCCCCACTTCTCCACATGAAGCCAGCTGGGTGATCATGGGCCAGTCACAGTTCTCTCAGAGCTGTTCTCTCAAAAGCAGTTCTCTTCCAACTGCCCTAGAACCAGATTCCATTGATTTAGAATCATAGAGCTGGAAGGGACCTCCAGGGTCATCTAGTCCAACCCCCTGCACAATGCAGGAAATTCACAAATATCTTCCCACACACACTCCGTGACCCCTGCTCCATGCCCAGATGATGACAAAGAACCCTCCAGGATCCCTGGCCAAACTGGCCTGGAGAAAATTTGTTTCCTGACCCCAAAGTGGCTATTGGCATTTCCCTGGGCGTGTAAGAAAGGGCCACAAGAACTAAGCACGGAGGCAACCCTTCCCACCCTCCCTCTCATGATCTGCCTAAGTTCACAGAATCAGCATTGCTGTCAGATGGCCATCCAGCCTGTTTGAAAACCTCCAAAAATGGAGAGCCCACCACCTCCTGAGGAAGCCAGTTCCACTGAGGAAGTTCTTCCTAATGTTTAGCTGAAAACTCTTCTGATTTAATTTCTGGTCCAACCTTCTGGGGCAACAGAAAACAACTCCACACCATCCTCTGTATGACAGCCCTTCAAGTATATTCATGGATTTAGTTATAACAGTGATGATTGAATCAAAACCCTACATCTCCCAAGTGGACATAGATGTTTTCTCCTACGGGTTGAATGCTCACACTTATTGTGCTTTTTATAGCCAGGCGGGTCAAGACCACGGTTCCTCTTCTTCCTGCTCGTTTCCATGGCGATAGACAACGAAGTGACAGGAAGGTAAGTTGAAGGAAAGTGGAAGAAAGGGATCCAGCTTATTGCAAAAAATGCTCAGCGATGGTTAACGAGAAACCGGCGAGAATGACAAAGCAAAAACCAACACACACATGCTCAGAAGCACAACCATCAATTGCCAGTACGGCAACCTTTTAAGTAATTTCTTCATTCAATAGAGAGGAAGTACACTCAAGCAAATCTTCCCCCCACCCAGGCTTCTCAGGTTCCCCCCCCCCGGCCACCAGCAGGCCCCCATCCCCTGCCATAGGTGAGACCTGGCAAAAATTTCTACATTCTACCCAAATACTAGAGCGTCGCCCCAGCACAATGATGTCACTTCCGGGTCAGGTGGGCAGTAATGTAAGTACAACGCTGCACGTTGGCAGAGCCTCTCTTTCTTGGGGATAAGTCGTCCCCCCCCCCCGCGCAAGCAAGCTGATTGGTGGCTGGGCGTTAGGTTCTGGCAGCAGGAGACCCATGCCTGGGGTCTGGCACCCCTACTTTAGTTTCTCAAGCATACCAACACCATCATGCCTTTCCCCTCTTCACAGTTTGTTGAATCAAACTTAGCTAGCCACATATCTCTCCTTATATATAATTGTGAAGTGGGGTGGCAATTTCTGAACATTCCACGCGCTCCTAAATCAGTTGGTCCATGATGTGTCACTCAGAAGCTGTCCCTATCCACTGGCTGCATTGCCTGAGTACCGCCTCCAACATTCCAAACAGTTTGCTGTTCCTCTCCCCCACATAGCCAGTCGGATTACAGAGGTCGTTTGCATATGCGGCCTGATTGGCCTTTGCCTCTAACATTCTAAACAGTTTGCTGTTGGGAGTCATTGAATGTGTCCTGAGGTAAAATACATATCCCAATCTTCCTTTAAATGGTCACTGGAGTTGCCAGTCTCCCTGTGGGGCCTGGAGATCTCCCAGAAGTCACCGTGTTCCCCAGCCACAGCACATCATTTCCCCTACAGAAAATTTTCCAGCTATTAAAACTGATGTCCAGATGACCAAGATCAATTCTCCTGGAAACAATGGCTGCTTTGGCCAGTGGACTCTATGGCACTATACCCTGCTGAGGTCCCTCCCCACCCCAAACCCTGCTCTCCTCAAGCTCTACCCCTCAAATCTACAGGTATTTTCCAACCGAGAGTTGGCAACCATGTAATTGGCTATGGAACCACTTTCCAGACCCTTGGAACCCAGAAAACATGGCATAGGAGGAGGTGGTTTTCTACCTTAGCTGCCACTGCATAACCCCAAATCAACATAAGTCGGGGGTGGAGGGAACCATACCTGTTATCATGAGGCTGTCCTCCCATACTACCCACTTGGGGCAGCAAAATGACTTGAGACAGCCCTGCCTTATAGCTAAGCAGAAGGAAATAAACACTGTTTGCCTCCCTCTATTTTCCCCTTCCCTCTGCCACCCTACCAGCCACAGCCAGGACACTCACCTGGAGCTTCCTTCTAGAGCTCGTTGTATTTCTTCCCACAACGGGCCTTACTCCTAGTATTTATATATATTTAAGTTCTCTGGACACACACACAAAAGTATGAAATTTCTTTTTATTCAAACACGGTTCCAAGTGGTTAATCACAACGTCATCTGGGTAGAAAGAAAATGTAACAAATATTGTAAAAATATATTGTAATACACTATAGTTGAGGGTAGAGCTCCCTTTCCTTATAGATGAAATATCACATTTACAAAGATCTGTTGCAGCTTTAAAGCACAGTGGCCATTATTTCCTTCCTGTTAAGAAATTTTTAAAAGTCAAATGTGAGACTTGTTATGTCCCGTGCTACAGCGTATCACACAAAAGCTTGACTTTCTGCAGTATATTCGTATAACATGGAATCCTCTATACCTCGGATAGTCTAACAGGGAGCCCTGTCAGGCATTTGGTCAGTCATATCAATGGCATTAAATGGTGCGAAGAGACAAATGTGTATTTAGAAACGCTAAGAGCTTCATCTGGTGTTCCCACCCAGGAGAAGTCAAGCTGCTTTCCAGCTGTGCTCGTATTTCCCGTTGCTTCTGTCTCTTCCCAACCCGCTCTGCGCCTTTCAAACCCAGCTGGAACTGCGCTCTTCTAGAAGCAAGAGATCCGGCCCCCAGAGAAAGGATTTTCCCCCACCTCTTAGGACTGCTATTTCACCTGCCAGAACAAGATGCAGGGGTATCAGTGATCCTTCCTGCTATTCCGAATATTTACATATATAGCAATGTTTGAAAATGGTACCACACGGCGGGTGAAGAAATATTGGCCAGGGCTACTAACAGTCGTCCATTTAGGTTTCCTTTGGACCAGTTATTTAAGTTGGCAGACTAACTATGAGCGTGCCTCGTCCCCTTTCTCCAATCACACAGGTTCTATTACATTAGCCATATGTCAGCGAATCCCATCAGGAGATAAACCAAGAGATCGTTTCAGCGGGTAGCCGTGTAGGTCTGCAGTTGATCAGGTAGACTTCAGTTCGGTAGCACCTTAGAGAGCAACAAGAATTTCGCGGTATAAACTTTCGAGAGTTCGGGCTCCCGGTGTCACCTTAGAGACCAACAAGAATTTCGCGGTATAAACTTTTGAGAGTTCGGGCTCCTGGTGTCAGATACGAAGGGAGCTTTGACTCTTGGAAGCTCATACCCAGAAAATCTCATTGGTCTCTAAGGGGCTATTGGACTCAGATCTAGCCCTTCTAAGAGAACAATCTGTTTGCCATTTTCTAACTTCGCCCATCAGTCATTGATCCAACTTTTCTGTCTTTGGCTCCTGGCTTTCCTTCCTTCTCTTACAAACTGTGCTTCAAAGCTAATCTTTCTCTTCTCCGGTTTCTCTCGCCTCCGATCACCGGCTCTGCTAGTCTGCAGCATAAACGAGAACCTCGGTCAAGGAGACGGAATGGTCTATCGCAGGGACGGCTGAGCCGCCATCTTGCCCTACGTTGCCGCTAATGTTCCAGAAGCTGCACCGTCATTTGAATAGCTTCACTGTTCTCTCCCCCCCCCGTGTTTTGGCAAGTCTTTGGTATTTGTGTGCCCAGTTGAATGAAGCTGTAAACAATGGGGCTCAGGCTGATCTGATATGCTCAGGAAAGGAAGCCCTATTGGCAGTGGCGGTAATAACACATTACGGTGGTCCACCCTGAAATTAAGAAACTGCCCTCTCTCAAGAGCCACAATCGGCTCCTACTCCTGACACAAATGGAACTTTAAGTGCTTAAATTAACCAAACTGCACCATGTGCTTCATTAAGCGAATTAGCGCTTCACATACCCTGCAGAAGTCATGATTTTTAGACACTCTAGCTAATACAACCCTGGCCCTAATGCTGATACGTATGGCCGCAATTAATGGGCTCCGCTCTATCCCCAGCCGGCAGAACATGGGCTCCTGCGTTCCTGTGCAGCTTTAGTGCTATTGTTGGTACCGACCAGGATTTATCAGTGCATACAGTATAACAGCCATCCCTAGAACCACGAGATGCTACTATGGCTCTCTGAAAAAGGACGACATTGCCTCAGTCAAACCTAGCTGCATCTGTAAAACGGGTGCCTTAAAGACACAACTTGGCTTTATTTGTGCTTAGCACCAGAACACGAGACGGCTGGCGCATGTCTCGAACGGCCCGGGCCTTCATGGCACATCGCTTTCGATGAAGGGGATGTCGCTATACTTGCTTTCCGTCACCGCCCACTGCTTCACGGCCTGATCCAGAATCTCTTGGGAGAGGCGGTGTGCAAAGTCCAGGATGGTGGTGCTTGTGGAAGGAGTCACGCCAGGCCTCCCTTGGATGAGAGACGGCGCATCTCCGCCGTAGCCCCCGTTGTATGCACCAAGGGTCTTGCTTCCATCGTCGAAAATCGTGTTCGAGGCCGGTAAGGTGCCTTTGGATTTAATACATCCCATGGTATAACTGTGCTGAAAAAGCTCAGATTTCCCCTTGAAGTCGTATCCTTTCAAGAGAAACAAAACACCACTTGCTTCTGAGCCGAAGTGAGAATAATCGGCTGCTCCCGGCTTGTGGTACCTGCAGAGAGAACATTTTACATTGTGGGGTTTAGCTAGTTAGCCGCTAACTGTTCTACACATACAAAACCAGACAGTTTTCTAATATTTGCTTCTGGTGGTAGAACCTGTGAAAAAGAATCTTGACATTTGTTTGCCATGCAGCCTTTAAATAGCTCAAGTCAGTTTTCATAATTACAAGGTAAGCCTCTATTTGGTCCTCATTAATTGCTATTTCCCATTTAATCAGCCGAGATGCCCAACAGGCCTGGAAGCATCAAGCTTACATGTTCCAATTTTAGTTACTAATTACAAACTGGGCGTTAGAAACAGCGCTTGTAAGATCATCTCCCGTGATCTAGCTGCAGCTCCAAGAGGCAGGACAAGCATGAAAGGAAACTCTTTGCGAAACGACCAGAGGGACAGAATCAAAGAATTGGGGGGGGGGGACACTACTGGACCCCATTGCTAGGGCTGCAAACTTCCATTGTCACTGGAAATCTGAGATCACGACTGATCTCCAGGTGACAGAGATCATTTCAGCTGGGGAAAATGGCTGCCTTGGAAGTCCCTCCCCTCTCCAAACCCCGCCCTCCTCAGGCTCCACCCCCAAAATCTCCAGGTATTTCCCGACAGAGAGCTGGCAACCCATGAAATTCGATACATTTGTTTTCTAGCATGAAAAGAGATTACATAAACATTACATAAATGTTGGATCAGGCCAATGGCCCAACCAGTCCAACATTCTGTCACATAGTGGCCCAAAAGACCAAGTGCCATCAGGAGGTCCAGCAGTGGGACCAGGGGACACACGAAGCCCTCCCACTACTGCCCCCCCCCCAAGCACCAAGAACACAGAGCATCACCTGCCCCAGACTGAGAGTTCCTATTTATACCTTGTGGCTAATAGCCACTGATGGACCTCTGCTCCATATAAGAACATAAGAGAAGCCAATGTTGGATCAGGCCAGTGGCCCATCCAGTCCAACACTCTGTGTCACACAGTGGCCAAAAATACCAGGTGCCATCAGGAGGTCCACCAGTGGGTCCAGGATACTAGAAGCCCTCCTACTGTTGACACCCCCCCCCCAAGCACCACTAATACAGAGCATCACTTGCCCCAGACTGAGAGTTCCTACCTATACTTTGTGGCCACCAAGGGACCTCTGCTCCATATGTTTATCCAGTTCCCTCTTGAAGCTGTCCATGCTTGTAGCCGCTACCACCTCCTGTGGCAGTGAATTCCACGTGCTCATCACTCTTTGGGTGAAGTACTTCCTTTTATCTGTTCTAACCCGACCGCTCAGCAATTTTATGGACTGCCCATGAGTTCTTATATTGTGAGAAAGGGAGAAAAGTACCTCTTTCTCGACCTGCTCTATCCCATGCATAATCTTATAAACCTCAATCATGTCCCCCCCAAGTTAAAAGATGACCAGGTTAGAAAGAAGTCCAAGATGGCATCCCTAGAAATTACATCCTGATTCTGGACTACCTGGCCATTTATGGGCAGGGGAAGAGGAAGCACAAGATCAGAATTAGGGGGAGGGAGAAAGAGAAAGGGTGCCAGTCATGATAGGATACCATTGCTGTCCTCAACCAATAGCCTGGTGGATCATCTCTGCCTTGATTTTTTTTTAGTCAAGCTCAGCAACTCTTCCCCTACATTTCTGGGCATCACTGTGACACTAGATTCCCACAGGCAACAGAAATGACTGCTAGTCTTCCTCAGCTATGATTAGTGGGGGTGCTAACTCTGGCTTGGGAAATTCCTGGAGTGGAACATGGGGAGCGGTGCAATTTGGGGAGGGAAGGAACCTCTGTGGGGTACAGTGCCATGGAGTCCACCCTCCAAAACAGCCATTATTCTCCAGGGGAGTTGATCCCTGCAGTCTGGAGATCAGTTGTAATGCAGGTAGGAATCCAGGTGCCAACTGAAGGTTGGCCACTCTAACAACTGAAGACCCCATCGATGTGTATTTATAGTTAGGATTAATTCACCTGTCTCTCTGGAGATATGGAGGGTACACCAAAGATAGGCGGTACACTAGTATGGAACCTTTCCCCTCACAGAATCCAATCTCAAAAGTGAGGGAGAATTAATAGCCACCAAGTTGCTGCCCTCCACAGCTTCACGGTTAATGTGTCTGAAGCAGACTGAACAGTTGCCTCGGGGCCCGAGTTGCGAAACCTAATTTCCTTTTGTATCCTGTAGATATCGAGTAGTGATGTTTGCTTTTTAACATGGCTTGTAGAAGGAGGAGGAGGAGGAGGTTGGATTTATACCCTGCCTGTCACTACCCAAAGGAGTCTCAGAGCGGCTTACAAACTCCTTTCCCTTCCCCTCCTGTGGGGTAGGTGGGGCTGAGAGAGCTCTGACAGAAACGGCTCTTTTTTCAAGAACAGCTCTGACAGAACTATGGCTTGCCCAAGGTCATCCAGCCACGTGCGTGTAGAGGGGTGGGGAGGGGTATCAGTGGGGTATGATGCCATAGAGTCCAGCTTCCAAAGCAGCCATTTGCTCCAGGGGAACCGATTGCCGTGACCTGGAGACCAGTTGTAATTCCAGGAGATCTCCAGCCACCACCTGGAGACCTAAGGAATATCGTGAGATGCTCATATATATTGCCTTTTGTTGAAAACTTAAGATAATTTTGTGTTTGATGCTTGAAACGTTGGAATGCATATACAGGGTTTCCCCCCAATTAAATCCCCTCCCCTCAAAAAAAGGAAAAAAAGAAAGGGCTTCTTCCAATAGCAGCACCTCAATTTGTGGAACGCCCATCCCCTTGAGACCCCCCCCCCCGCACCTCCACTGCTTTCTTTCAGGCACCAGGCCTAAATGTTTCTCTTCACCTTTTAATGAAGGGCCAGTTTGGTATAGTGGTTAAGAGCGGCGGACTCTAATCTGGAGTACTGGGTTTGATTCTCCACTCCTCCATATGCAGCCAGCTGGGTGACATTGGGTCAGTCACAGTTCTCTCAGAGCTCTCTCAGCCCCACCTACTTCACAGGGTTCCTGCTGTGGGGAGAGGAAGGGAAGGTGACTGAACCCAATCCGAGAGATATGAGGCCTGCTGGGTGACCATGGGCCAGTCACAGTTCTCTCAGGACTCTCTCAGCCCCACCTACCTCACAGGGTGCCTGTTGTGGGGAGGGGAAGGGAAAGGGGATTGTCAGCTGCTCTGAGACCCATGAGGCCTGCTGGGTGACTTTGGGCCAGTTGTTGGCCCTCCAGGGGAAGTGATTGGCCTCTGTGTGTGACGGGGTGCTGGACTACATGGACCTTCACTGGTCTGATCCAGCAGGACTCTTCTTATGTTCTTAGGAAGGCCTCGGCCTCTCTGCCCTGTTGTTGGCCCTCCAGAGGAACTGGCTGGCCCCTGTGTGAGACAGGATGCTGGACTAGATGGACCTTCACTGGTCTGATCCAGCAGGGCTCTTCTTATGTTGGGCCCTGTTGTTGGCCCTCCAGAGGAACTGGCTGGCCCCTGTGTGAGACAGGATGCTGGACTAGATGGACCTTCACTGGTCTGATCCAGCAGGGCTCTTCTTATGTTGGGCCCTGTTGTTGGCCCTCCAGAGGAACTGGCTGGCC